CTAATTCAAAGCAATAACAACAGATAAACCTATGCTGTGGTTATCTTTTCTTTCTTCACAAGAACAATAGGGCAAACATAATTTACCTTTGGCTTCTGTATTTTCTTTGTTATACTGAAAACATTTTTTTTTTAACTAAAGTCTATTTTATTTATTTATTTATTTATTTATTTATTTATTTATTTATTTTAGATGGAGTCTCGCTCTGTTGCCCAGGCTGGAGTGCAGTAGTGTAATCTCGGCTCACTGCAGCCTCTGCCTCCCGGGTTCAAACAATTCTCTTGTCTCAGCCTGCTGAGGAGCTGGGACTATAGGCGCATGCCACCACACCTGGATAATTTTTCCATTTTTAGTAGAGATGAGGTTTCACCATATTGATCAGGCTGGTCTCAAACTCCTGACCTCAGGTGATCTACCCACCTAAGCCTCCCAAAGTGCTGGGATTAAAGGCATGAGCCACCACACACGGCCCTAAAGTCTAAATTAAATGTATTCATAGGTTACATGAATATCTTAGAAAAAAATACATTCTTTCTCAGTTTTACAGATCCCTCCACACCAAAAAAATCCCCAGACCTTTTTTCTAATTCTTACATATGCATTAGATTTTCTTTACCTTAATCATAAGATATTAGGTACATAATTTTTACCATACTTACAAAATCATACCCTGCAGCTGGGAGAAAGGCAAAAGAAGAAGGAAAAAAAGAGAAAGAGAAGATTGAAAGAGAGAAGAGGAAGGGATAGAAAGCAGAAAGGTTTCTGCTGTAAAGGAGACACAAAAGAAAGAGATGAAAGGGAGAAAAAATGAGGTGGACTAATAGTTACAAGTGTACCCACAGAGCATCACCACGTCATTATTTTCCAAGCTTCACAATCAGAACCCCCACCCACCCATCCTACAGTCCAAACATTTCAGGAAAGAGAGAAACTAGGCTTTTTCATTCCTCACTCAATGATACTGATCACTCTTCTGACAGGGTTGCAGGACAGTGATGATGGCTGGGTCCAGAGTCACAGCCTCCTCCCTCTCAGAAGCTACCCATTCTGTTAAGAGGCCATAGACCACCACGTTCCTAATTGTGCAGCTCTCCTTGGGCTTCAGTATGTAACTATTTCTATCTTGATATCTGTTTCTGAGTTCCTAGAATCTTAATGTACTTTTGCCACACCCTCCCTCCAGAAACTGAAACTTGACAAATAAATCCCACTGACTGGCATGGCAGACCTAGACTTCAAAAAGAACACCTGTTATAGCCCCAGGTGTCTACATATTAAATACCACCTGATTCTCCATTGCTGTGCCATGCCCACAAGCTAAAGCTCCCTATTGCTCCATCGGGGACTCCTGGAGCTAATCTATTTCCTCCAAAGCGCCTGGAGGTAGTCTCGGGTAACTTTGGACATCATGCTGCTTCTATTTACTCACTGGAATGCAACTGTCTGCCCTGCAGCTGAGACAACATCCCCAGCACCTGGCCTTCTCCCCTAACCATCGTGACCAGTTCACACAGACACAGACAAATACTAAGATATGAGAAAAACTATAAACAGTGGGACATCATTCCAGTAACTGAAATGCATTCATTTAACCAATATTTATTGAATGTCAGGGATAATGTCTGTATGATAGTGATATAACAATGAACAAGACAGATTTTCTGTCCTCAAGGAATTTGTGTTCTATTTATTTGCACATATAAACAAAAATTTAACTACATGTAAAGGTAAAAACATCCCTTTGTTACTACAACAAATAAAAACATGTGCACTTCTATCTATTGTCTAATATAGAGGAAAGTATCTGAAATGTTATGTCAAAATATAAGTTAAGGAGCATACGCCACATTTTCTTGAGTGGAAGATGAAAGGATTTAAGAAATTGGGGCTGGGCGAAGTGGCTCATGCCTGTAATCCCAGCACTTTGGGAGGCCGAGGCGGGAGGATCACGAAGTCAGGAGATCGAGACCATCCTGGCTAACACGGTGAAACCCCGTCTATACTAAAAATACAAAAAATTAACTGGACATGGTGGCAGGCACCTGTAGTCCCAGCTACTCGGGAGGCTGAGGCAGGAGAATGGTGTGAACCTGGGAGGCAGAGCTTGCAAGCGAGCCGAGATCACATCACTGCACTCCAGCCTGGGCAACAGAACGAGACTCTGTCTCAAGACAAAAGAAAGAAAAGAAAGAAAAGAAAAGAAAAGAAAAGAGAGAAAAGAGAAGAGAGAAGAAAAGAAAAGAAGGAAAGAAGGAAGGAAGGAAGGAAGGAGACAGAGAGAAGGAAAGAAAGAAAGAAAGAAAGAAAAGAAAGAAAGAAAGAAAGAAAGAAAGAAAGAAAGAAAGAAAGAAAGAAAGAAAATTGGAAGTTGCCCTACAAAGTAAAATACAAAAAGCCCATGTAATTGTAAACAGACAGATATGCAAATGAATCAAAAGGTGAGGGAGAAAGAAAAGAGAGCCAGTTCAGATGCAATAGATGCATACTGGGCAGTTAACACAGAAATATGTGCACTTAATACTCAGATATGTGACATGAAGCTTATTTTTTTCTCTTGAATTGCATATAACGTCATGAACTTCATAAACCTCAATCTGTCTACAGAAAATAATTCTGCCTTTCTGGTATCCTTAGTCCAGTGGCTTCGTCATGTAAACTGTTCCTTGGTTTTTGTTTTTATGGGGTGTTTGGGGGCTTTGTTTTGTTTTGATTTTCAAATCTCAGTCACTGTTCAGCATAAAATTTCTAATTCAGAGTTTCCTTTCCTCCTTTACTAGCCCTTCTTTTGCCCCATACCCTCTTCTCCTATGCTGTCTTGGTTGGCCTGCTCTGGCTGCTGGAGGTGTCACAGAAAGTTGGATAACCTGAGCAATGTCCCTCAGTTGAGCAGAAAAGTTGGACAGCTGGTCTTGATCATTTCTTTCCCTGCTGGACATTGTTGTTCCCATCATCATTTTATCCGGCCCTGGCATTGGTATGACACTAACCTACTAATGTTCTGGCCACTTGTTCTCTCTAGGTCTGTCCAGATGGCATCCCTTTAGCTCTTTTCTGCAACACATTCAAGGACTTCAAGTGTGCATATACCATATCGCCCACTTCATAGTCTTCTGACATCAGAGATTCCAAAAGTAGTGTTGCTTCCCTTGTCTCACCTCTTCAGGCAATCTCTGTGTGTCCCATAACATACGAAGCAGATTCCTGCAGGGCCAACTAGAGTCCCCTTACTTTTCAGTCCTGGACTATCTTTACCATGCCTTTCTTGACAGCCTACCCTCTCTTAATTCATTCTTTCTAAAGTTCGGTGACCCTCAGACAATGTTGCAGACATTCCTTCCCAGCAGACTTGCAACAAGACCCAAACCAATGTTCAATCAACAATTATCGGCTTCCTTCTAATAAATATTGGTAGCGCTCAAGAATTTTACGCTTTCTCATAACCAACCCGACAACCAGGTATATTTCACAACAAAACAAAGCACAAACAAAATTCTGCCTCATAAGCAAATATTAGCCAGCAGGCACAAAAACAGTTATACATACTGTTCCAGTAAGCTCTATGAAGTCCCTAGTCTATCACTACAAAAGCCCCTTACATGAATGGTGATCTCCAAGATAAATAAAATTGCATCCCCTACAAGATTAACCTTCCCAGTCAATCCAGGAAAAGATCCTAGGACAGATCTTCCATAAAAGAAATGGCAGGGCAGGAGTATAGGACCATGTGTACTGCCATACCAGCACACAGCTGGCAAGGCAGAGGTTTCCAAACCATATTTCTAGCCAGCTGCATATAATGAACACCACTTGTTTCATCAGGGAAACACTATTTTTAATACTTTTTGTGTTAATTAACCCAGTGGTACAGGTGTAAACAGCAATTTGAAATCTTGCCCCAGGTGCCTCCAGAACTTAGATCACTGATTAAAGTCCTTCAAATATTATCCAACCACTCTAGTGGTGGGTGTTAAAATAGAAAATGAATTGACTCAAGTATATATATGTGTGTGTGTGCATACATATATATGTGTGTGTGTATGTATCATAGATACATATATGACCCAAATACACACACACACACACACACACACACACACATCCCATGATCTACACTAGCAGATCAACAAAAATTATGGATGACATTCAGAATGAGATTCTAATCTCCCTTCTTTGGAGAAAACCACAAACCATGGGGTACCAAGATGACTAGCATCTCCCTCCCAGAGAAAGAAAAAAAGAAGGGGAAAAGAGAAAGTGATAATGCTCCATAGTTGCTCTCCTTCAAGATTATAGTCTGCCTTATAGCTCACTCTTCATACTTCCCTGGAGACAGAATGTTCCAAATTAGTTGGGCTTTATTATTACACAGATGTGAAGGCTGAGAGCCTACTACCTTAAGCATGGTAGTATTCTGAACATGCTGTTTGCAATTTAAACTCTTCACTTTCCACTGTCAATTCTCTCCACAGACCTCCTTTCACCTATAAGTAACCCAGTAACCCTGAGGATCAACAAGTGGTTTCAGTGATCCTCCACACTACAGAAATGCAAACACCCACATGGAAAGCCAAAAGGGATTTCTCAGGGATTTGCAGGCACTTATTTGCAAAAGGGTTGCCTATTGCTTGAGCAAGATGATCAGATAGGAATCCACAAGGATTTATTTAATTATTTACCTACAGCAAATGATTCTCCTGAGAAGCACAGAGGGAGGTCAGCAAGTTCTAAATAAGCTAGATGCTAGATAAAATAGCAATAACACACATTAAGTGCACTGAATATAAACTGAAGATTTTAATACACCTTTTAAAAAGCTGCAATGTTAGATCTGATAAGTTTAATAGAACATAATCTATAAAATCTGATGTAACACAAGCACATAAAGTCTGATCAGCAGGGACTACTGCCACTGGTTAGCTCTTAAAGCTGACACAAATTAGACACATCCATATAAGCCCTTATTTTCATGATTAAAGCTGCTCCTCTTTCAAACTTCTTACCTTGCAAATGTCAGTTCTTCAAGTTGTACAGTATTTCTCCCTTTCACTCAACTCTCTACATCCTGTCATCAAATCTTACCTACAATAGCAAAAACCACAATTACTATTGCTCCGACTTAATATTTTGCTTTCAAAAGAGCATTATAATATATATCTTCTTCTTCGTTCCATTAGTGTCAGAGACTAATAACCCTTTGCCTTGAAAATTGGACTAACTCTTCATTCATTCCTACACTGTTTTCCCCAGTCCTTGCTCTGTTCTCTGGCATTGATAGCTCATAACTGCAAATCTTGATTCTGCCATCTACCTATCTACCATCCTTCAATGCTTCTTTGGAATTTTCAAGATAAATTTTACACTCCTCCATAATTAGGTTCCTGCAAACACCTAAACTAAACTCTAGTCAATTATTCCTTGATGCACAGCCATTGCTTTTGATAGTTCCAATCCATTGGACTCTAACGGCTACAAGAATTATTGCATAACATCTACAAATACACACACCAAGTAACCATCTATAGACTAAAAACATTACACACAGAGACATACTGTAATTATTCAAAGGTGTAAAAATGAACCCTCGAAGTTACCAAAGGCAGTTAGATGTTATGACTTTAAATTCTTACAGATACACTTGAAAAACACAGTGTTTTCTAGAAGAAAAAGCAGGCAATGATGTTAATTTAAAAGATAATAAAGATTGAGAAAGTAGTAATTTTTCAAACTTTAATATTTCCAAAACTCCTAGGAAATTAACTACAGGACGTCTTTCCAGTCACTTATCTACTTCATCTACCTTTCTTTACGATTCATATTTTTTCTTTTTTAAAATATTAGAGCATACCTCCTATTAAGCATCTTTTTCCTTTTCCATATTCTGTTCTCCTTCACTGGTTGGAAGTAAGATGTGGTAGATCTTCAAGTGTTTCAGTTGTTACACAATTGGTGGGAAAAGATATTGTGTGCATTCAAAGTATCAAATAATGTTTTACTCTCTTGGCCAGTATGATCCATCAGCCTTCTAAGTCAGATAATAGGTGAAAAAATGGAAAGAATCTATACCCATAATGTCCAGAGGCTTGTTAAAGAAACACAAACATGTAATATCTTGGCATATGGCTAAGAGGACTCTAGTTATTCCTTTGTGAAAAAGCCTGGGGTTACCTGTAAATTTAAATTTAAGACTTTAGAAAAACAAGCAACAGACCTTTAACAGGTTTACCTGTACGTCCTGCAGGCACTAATAAGGGAATAAATTTCACATCTGTTCAGTGTCAAAAAGAATCATAAGTTTTCCACTGTTTTGTTTTGTTTATAAACATGTGCAGGTGAGTAAGGCATCATCAATAATATCACCTGCAGAAATAAAAGTCAGTTATATATGTAGAAAAACATTTCCAAAAATGAGTTCTGAGAAACACTAGTTCTATGAAACGTTTGAGGTGTTTTACACACACACTCAAAAAGACTAAACATATTTAAAAAATGTTACAATGGTATTTCTCATATTTTTAATACATTAATGTTTATTTTGAAGATCCAAATAATTTCTTATTTTGTCTCACAAGGAAACATTTTCACACGGAATATTTCCAGAGTTTTGTTTGTAATGTGCTCAGAAAAATGATGAGCTAGACATAGTTTTACTATTAACAATTTTATTTCCAGAAAATGGGTCAATTGCTACAATGAAAATCTTGACTGAAATGCAGAAGTATATGACATGCAAGTAGTCATTAGCACATTAAATCAAGTTTATAAAGATGTCATGAAATAATTTTTTACTTTTTAAAACTGAGCAACAATAAATCTCAGTACTTACAAAAAACATTTTGTCAATAAGGAAATAGAATTAAATTTGGAAAAGCAGGCAATCATGATGGAAACTAGATTTTGTTCAAAATCCCTTTGAATTAAGAAAAAATGTATTGATATAAATGACATATATTTATCAAAAGAAATGTGCTTTCTCTCCATTAGAACAGGATAATTATCACCATATATATTAAAGGCATGGTAAGCATTAAGTTGCTTTCTAAACCAGGTCATTAAAAGATGAATAGATAAGTTTCAACTTTTCCCCAACACATTTTTCTTCTCATACAATTAATCTGCCAAACAGAATTACCTCAATTTGGTTTAGGTGTGAACACCTGACAAATCACAACAAACATCAAATGTGCAATTTCCAGGGATGTCCTCCATATTTTTTCTGTAATGATGTTAAAGTCACAATGATCTTTTTATGCAAATAATATCACATCATTTCCAGGCATAAAAATCATTTCATAGTTTCCGACAACACTTACAGACCTATAGATCTCACATAAGCTGACCCTTGTTTCTATCTCTCTCTGTCTCTCCCTCTCTCTTCTCTCCAGCCCCCCTGCCTCACCCACTCCATTCACAAAAATCTTCTACAAATCTTCCTGCTGTGCCTCAAACAAGCCACAGTCATTCCTGCCTTAGGACTTCTTTTCTTAGACCTTGGCCCAGCACCTTTTCAGGCTCAGAGATTCTAATTTAAATAATTAGAGATCAGAAGCAGGTATCAGCGTTTCTTGAAAATGACTAGATAAAAAGAAGCCTGGGACGGAAGAGATGAATGAATGATTGACATAAATAATGACAGCAACTCTCTAACAAATAATTTTACAAAGCAGAATGTATTTTACATGCTGCACCTAACGTTTAGCATTTAATATGTCATGGTCAAGCTATCTCTGTCATCTGTGCAATATTTTGCAATGCAGTGACATTTTAGAAAGGCAAAGAGCTTTAAATTGCTAATTTATTGGGGAAAATAATTAAGTTTTCACGTTCATGCCACCATAAAAGAGAAAATATATTTCATGATTATGTTGAACACCACCCTTCAATTGTATGGTAACTAAACTATTTATTATATATTAAAATCAAGACTGTTAGTTGGGCTATTTACTTTTCAATTCTTAAAATCAGATAATAAAATGAAATATAAACTTCACAATAAAATTTCTAAAAGGCAGTTTGTGTTCTATTGCTCTGTATTCACATAAGCATGTCATGCCTTGCTATCTTTCCAAAAACAGCAGCCAAATGGTTTCCACTTAATCTCCTTCTCCAGTGCTGTCTTGACAAACAAGAGCACTTTCAAGGGTACAGGATCAGACATTGTGCACACCATGACCAAACCAAAAACAAAAGCTTCACCATTTACTTAGTCAACATTGATAATTAAATCAATCTTCCTCTTAAGAAATCAGAATAAAGATTTCACAGGTGGAAGCAGCTCTTACTGCCAAAGGGCTTTCTATGATTTGATGCATCCAAGATTTGATGCCAGAAAAAGTGATGAAAAACTTGAAATACTTGTATTAGTTTTCAGCTAGTGGAGGAAATTTCAATTGCTTGAAATTTAGTGTTAGAAGAAAACACTGAGTTGCCTATGGTGTATAATAGAGATTCTTTGAAAGCTACAGTAGGTAGCTATAGACTTTCGGGGTTATGATTGAAATTTTTTATGCTTGAAAATTATTAGCAGTTCAGAAAGAAAATAGAGCCTATTTTGTCCAGAATACATTCGTTTTAGTCATGAGTGGCACTGTTTATAAGATCATAACCAGAGAATCTAAGAATGAAGTAGGTAGAATCATCAAAGTAAACCAGCAAGAAACTAACTACAGGATGTCAATCAAAGAGAACTGGAGATCAAGAGGCAGCAGAGCATCCTGCCAATGGGAAAACAAAATTCTGCAGCATGGAGGAGTTCACCTCACATTGCAAAAAATCAATAAGGCTTGATAAATACAGAACAATCACAAGACAAACACTGAAAACCTCTACATTTAGCTAGTCACCAGTCTCTTTCCCGGTTTATTTACTCACTGATTCTTTCCTCGCTGTGGAATAGCTCTAATATGTCTTTTCGAACAATTCCTAAAGTTAACCAGTGCATAAGCAGCATCTCATCTTGAGTTCAGTTTTCTAAGTCCTACAATATTACTAATGTCACATGAAAAAGCAAAGTCTTTTCCTTCCAAAACCATGATAAGGAAAAACGAGCAATAAGTTATTTGGGGCCTATAATCTCCCTTCTCCTCAGAAAAGCTAATAGTACATCAACATAATTTTTAATACAGTTCATCTTGCTCTTATATTTATAACTAACTATAAAGGCACCTTACATTCAAAACAATAAACTGAGGCAAATTTTCCCATGAGACTAACTTGACCACAATCTAATGAAACATTTTCATTTTGTATGTTGTAGAAGCATGAAGCATATAACAGGAAATACATTCAATACCATGCTAGCAGAGAAAAGCTTTCCAAAAGTTTGGTTTAAGTTAGATAGATATTTGTGTTTGTTGGTAGTAGCTTAAGTCAGTTATTTTACTGTCATTTTAAGAACTGTAAAATACAATCACAGTCCCGTTTATTTATTCCTTATAACATATATCACTCTAGAGCCTAAATAATTATCTGTGACTGCATCGTCTTTGCTCATCACTGCATCTCCAAAAGTTGGTACAATGCGTGGCATATAACTCAATAAATACCTTTTGAAAGAGTAAATTAATGTTAAAAAAAATCATGAAATGAGAACAGAATGGAGGCATATCAGCTTACAGATACTTTGAAACATATATCTAAAGATGTTTTATGTTTATTATCCAAATCCAACTGAAAATACTAAATTTATCTGTGAAAAAAATATAATTGATAAGACCTCCAATACTTCATTATAACTGCCTTATTATAATTATGTTAGCATTTTTTGAAAATCAAAAGAAAGTTTTGGTTCTTTTCCCAAAATGAAAAGAATCTGTAAACCAAAAGAATACAGTTGAGTCCATTTCAACTACATATTTAAGATGCTGGACTGATTACTTATTTTTTAATGTGTCAATTACTTAATATTTACTCATTAGAAATGGATGTCCAATGTTAATAACGTTAATTAAATGACTATGTAATGTAAATAATGTAATGACTATTACAACTGAATGTATGTGTTTTCAACTGAATTGTATGTGAAGCAAGCTTATTTTTATTTAATTTTCTTCATAATAAATACTGTGCAAGAATTAGGCATTCTTAAATTTTATACTGTGTAAATCTTATTCCAACCTCGTTAAGTATGTCTCCTGAAAAATTAGTCCTTTATACTTATCAGAGTTTTTAATTGATGCACAATAATTGTACATATTTATGGGGTGCAGTGTGCTATTTCAATACATATATACTATGTGTAATGATCAAATCAGGGTAATTAGCATATCCATCACCTCAAACGTTTATCAACTCTTAGTGTTGCCAATGTTCAATATCCTCTCTTCTACCTATTTGAAAATACACAATAAATTGTTGTTAGTTTTATTCACCCTAGTGCTAAAACAAACAAACAAACAAACAAAAAACACACACAACAGAACTTTTTCCTTCTATCTGTTAATTTTATATTCATGAACCAACCACTCTCTATCCCATCCCATCTACCCTTTCCAGTCCCTAGTAACCATTAATCTACTCTCTACTTCTATAAAAACAACTTTTTGAACTTCCAAGTATAAGTGAAAACATGCAGTATTTATCTTTCTGTGCCTGGATTATTTCACTGACAAGGTTTGTTGTTGTTTGTTGTTGTTGTTGTTGTTGTTTGAAATGGAGTCTCGCTCTGTCACCAGGCTGGAGTGCAGTGAAGCGATCTCGGCTCACTGAAACCTCTGCCTCCCTGGATCAACCAATTCTTGAGCCTCAGCCTCCTGAGTACCTGAGACTACAGGCGTGTGCCGCCACACCCCACTAATTTTTTTTATTTTTTTTAGTAGAGACAGGGTTTTGTCATGTTGGCCAGGCTGGTCTTGAACTCCTGGTCTCAAGTGATCCACTTGCCTCGGCATCCCAAAGTGCTGGAATTACAGGTGTGAGCCACTGTGCTCAGCCAGGATTTCATTATTTTTTTATGGTTGCATATTGTATTGTACATATAGACCAACTATTCTTTATCCACTCATCTGTTTATCACACTGAGGTTGATTCCATATCTTGGCTATTGTTAATGGACATATCTTGGTTAGCACTGCAATAAACATGGGAGTGCAAATATCTCTTTAATACACTGATCTTCTTTCCTTTAGATATACCCAGTAGTGAGATTGCTGGATCATATGGTAATTCTATTTTTAGTTTTTTTGAGGAACCTCTATACTGTTTTCTACAACAGCTGTACTAATTTATCCTCCCACCAAAAGATTATAAAAGTACTCATTCCTTCACATCCTCACTAGTATTTGTTATTTTTGTCTTTTTAATAATAGTAATTCTAACTGTGGTGAATTATCATCTCATCATAGTTGTGATTTGCACTACCCTGATGACTAGTGATGTCGAGCATTTTCTCATATACTTTGTATGTCTTCTTTTGAGAAATGTCTATTCAGATCATTTGCCCATTTTAAAAAGGGATTATTTATTTATAAGCTGCTGAGTTTGTTATATATTCTAGATATTAATCCCTTATTGGATGAATAGTTTGCAAATGTTTTCTCCATTCTGTAGGTTGTCTCTTAACTTTGTTGATGGTTTCCTTTGTTGTACAGAAGCCTTTTCATTTGATATAATCCCATTTGTCTATTTTTGTTTTGGTTGCCTGTGCTTTTGAGGTCATATTTGTAAAATCTTTGCCCAGACCAATATCCTAAAGTGTTTCCTCTATGTTTCCTTCTAGTAGTTTTGTATTTTCAGATTTTACATTTATCTTTAGTCCATTTTGAGTTGATCTTTGTACATGGTGAAAGATAGGGGTCTAGTTTTATTTTTCTGCATGTGGATATCCTGTTTTCCCAGCATGATTTCTTGAAGAGACTGTCACTTCCACAATAAGTGTTCTCGGTACCTCTGCTGAAAATCTGTTGGCTGTAAATTTATGGATTTACTTATGGGTTATCCATTCCATTCCATTAGTCTATGTGTCTGTTTTTATGCGAGTACCATGTTGTTTGGGTTACCAGCGCTTCATAGTATATTTTGAAGTCATTAGTCCTTAGTAGTATATTTTGAAGTTTGACACCTCTGGCTTTGTTCTTTTTCCTTAGGATTGTTTTGGCTATTTGGGGTCTTCTGTAGTTTTGTAAGAATTTTAGAATTGTTTTTTTCTATTTCTGTGATGAATGTCACTGGTATTTTGAAAATAACTGCATTAAATCTGTAGATCGTAGTGAATAGCATGGTCATTTTAACAATATTAATTGTGTTAATCTATAAACATGGAAATCTTTCCATTTGTGCGTGTGTGTGTCCTTCTCAATTTCTCTCATCAATGTTTTGTAGTTTTTCTTGTAGAGATACTTCACCTCCTTGGTTAAATTTATGCCTAGGTATTAATTTGTAGCTGTTGTAAATAGGATTCCTTTCCTAGTTTTCCTCTTCAGCTAGATCTTTGTTGGTGTATAGAAACACTACTGATTTTTCGAGTGCTGATTTCATATGCTGTAACTTTGCTGAATTTGTTGATCAATTCTAAGAATTTTTTGGTGGAGACTTTAGATTTTTCTCCATATAAGAATATGTTATCAACAAACAGAAACAATTTCACTTCCTTCTTTCCAATTTGGATGCCCTTTTACTCTTTCTCTAGCCTAATTGCTTTAGCTAGGACTTTCAGTACTATGTTGAATAAAAATGATGAAAACGGACATCTTTGTCTCCTTCCAGTACTTATGGTAAAATAATTTTTAGCTTTTCTACATTCAGCATGTCATATATGGTTGTGAGTTTGTCATATATGGCTTTAATATGTTGAGGTATGTTCCTCCTATCCATAATTTGTTGAGAGTTTTTATTATGAAGAGATGTGTTGAATTTTATCAAATGCTTTTTCTGTGTCCACTGAGATAATCAAATGGTTTTTGTTGATATGTATCATGAACATTGATTTGATTATATTGAACCATTCTTGCATCCTAGGTTAATTCCCACTCGATAATCATATATAATCTTTTTTATTTGCTGTTGTATTAAGTCCAAAATACCGGTTTGCTATTATTTTATAAGTCATTTTTGCATCTATGTTCAATATCAGGGATATTGGCCTATAGTTTTCTTTTTTGTTGCATCTTGGTCAGGTTTTGATATCAGGATAATACTGGCTTCATGGAAATAGGAAGAATTTTCTCCTCTTCCATTTTTTCAACAGTTTGAGAAGAACTGGCATTATTTCTACTTTACAAGTTTGGTAGAATTCAGCAGTAAAGCCATCTGGTCCTAGAATTTTCTTTGGTGGGAGACTTTTTATTATGATTTTAATCACATTATTCATTATTGTTCTGTTCAAGTTTTCTATTTCTTTTTAGTTCAGTCTTGATAGATTCTATATTCTCAGGGATTTTCCCATTTCCTCGAGGCTTTCTAAGTTGTTTGCATACTGTTGTTCATAATAGTCTCTAATGATTCTTTGTATTTCTGTGATATCAGTTGTAATGTGTCCTTTTTTATTTCTGATTTTGTTTATTTTAGTCTTTTCTCCTTTTTTTCCTTAGTCTAGCTAATGGTTTGCTGATTTTATTTATCTTTTAAGAAAATCCACTTTCCATTTCATTGATTTTTTTTTTCAGTCTCAATTCTGTTAATTTCTGCTGATCTTTACTCCTTCTTTCTAATTTTGGGTTTGGTTTGTTCTTGCTTTTCTAGTTCCTTGAGTTGCATCATTAGGTTGTTTTTTGGAAATCTTTTTACTCTTTGGATGTAGAAGTTTATTGCTATAAACATTCCTCTTAATACTCCTTTTACTATATCCCATAGGTTTTGGTATGTTGTGGTTCTATTTTCATTTGTTTCCAGAAATATTTTAATTCCCTTCTTAATTTCCTCATTAATCTATTGGTCATTCAGTAGCATGTTGTTAAAGTCCATGTATTTGTACAGTTTTGAAAGTTCTTGTTATTGATCTCTAAATTTACTGTGTTATGAACAGAAAAGATACTTGATATCACTTTGATTTTTTGAATTTAGTGGAACTTATGTTTTTAATCTAACATATGGTCTATCCAGGAGAATCTTTCATGTGATGATAAAAAAAATATATAAATTCTGCATATGTTGGATAAAATGGTCTGAAAATGTGTATTATATCTTCCTATTTGCATTTTCCCCACAATGGGGAGACTTAGCCATGGAGATCCTTCTTGGTGTCAGGTCTGACATGGCCTACAAGTAGCTACAGTAGTGCTGGGTTCCAGGGTGCAATTACTCAGAGTAGCTGTGAAGCTGAGGTCCTAGGCTCAGGTCCTCATGAAACTACTGTGGCATATGGGTTCTGGGGTGCAGATTCACTCTCTGTGAGAGTGTTGGATGTAGACTGCCCACAGAGGCAGCATCCATGACTCTCAGGCACCCTCGCAGTTCAGACAAAGGGAATTTGGTTGTAGCTGAGACTCTGTCCTAGTCTACCCTGGTTCCCAGGTGCAAACCTTCAGAGCATTTCTGCCCTAGGAATGCTCTGAAAGTTTGGACCTAGGGAGTAGGGTAGGCTACAGTTTGGGAACCAGACCTAGCAGGGCTCAGAGACAACGTAGATCCTGGGGGGATAAGGCACCATGTAGTGGTGACTCTGGACTCCGAGGTGGTAAAAATTGGCAGTGTCCCAGGCTCTATGAAGCCAAGTCTAGTGGCAGCAATGACCCGAGAATGGTATAGTGTAGCTATTGCTTGGGCCCTGGGGAGCAAAGAGCAACACAGCTATGACTCTACTCCCTGGGGAGGAGAATTTCTCAGTAGCTCATGCTCTAGGTGGCTAGTCCAGCTCCAGGGAAGCAGGGTACTAGAGCTGTTTGTCCTGTAGGACAGGGTGTCTCAGTTCAGCCACTGCACTGTTTCTTTGGGACTCAGCGTACCATGTCAGCTCTGCCCTGGGATGCACAGCTGCTCTACTTGGCCAAGTCACCAGTTCCCTGGGAGGTATTATGCAACTAACTTCATTGGTCAGGCCCTTTGTAGGGGTAGGAGGGGTTTGGTGTTCGCTCTGGGTGACCAAAGCACTATTTCTCTGGGATACAGGGCACCTCTTCAGCTTGGGTACTTGAGTACATGACCACTCTAGGAGGTCAAGATACCATTTCCTGTCATGGGGAGGAGGGAAGCATACCTACTCTGGGCATTCAAGATACTGTTTTTCCAGGGACCAGGATACTGCTTCAGCTCACGCACAGGCAGCGGTGACTGCTCTAGGCAGCCAAGGCATCGTTTCTCTGGGATGTAGGGTGCTACCTGAGCTCTGGCACAGTGACTACAATGGGTAGATGGAGTAGCTTTGCCAAAGCACTGTTTCCTTAGAGGCAATGTGTAGCTTCAGCTCAGGCCCCTAAGGGCAGCACACAGCAGCGATTTCTAAGGGAAAATGGAGTAGAGTGGCTCCACCAAGACACTGTTTCCAGAGAGTGGCCTTGCAAGTTAACTAATATCTCTGTGTCTCATTTTGTTCACTTGGAAGGTTAAAATAAGATCATCATAACCTATTGTGAGGATAAATGAGTTAGTACACATAAAGAATTTAGAACAGTCCCTGGCATGTAGTAAGCACTTGGTAAATGTCAGTTTTCGTT